CTTTGAATTGCGGGCAAGAGACAACATTTGGCTTGTACCTTTAAATATGGGAGGGGGGAAGGAAACGCAAAAAGAAGAAAATGGGGTACGGATTAAAAGGGGGAGGGGGAAGCAGACAAGGAATAGCGCCCTTTTACTTGCCGATTTTTCCGCAGCAAGCGCACAAATACAAAACATACAAGACTGTAAAAAACTGCTGAAGCGTGTAACCCAAAAACCTACCCGACCTGACCTTGAGCTACAAGGCCAGGTGATTTTCAACAATTTTGTGGGATTAAAAAAAGCGCGCGTTATATGGGGAAACACATTTAAACCATAAAATGCGTAAAGGGCTCACCTTAGAAGAAAGCCCCTTGCTTTCGACAGCTGCAAAGGGTCGTAAACAGCCTTGAGGAAAGGCAGTTGTGCTCATAGAGTGGGCTTTGTTGACCTGCTGCTGACTGCCCTCCGTGCTAGTGTTAACATTAGTCTCAGTATCAAGGGTCACCTCCCACGGCTCGTTGGGGTATGCTGCCTCCCACGCCACCCGTCCCTTTTCCCGGGCCTTCTCCAACCCCTATGTCCAAGGACGGAAAAAAAAAAACTTGTGGTTTATTAAGGGGCCTGGTCTCAGACAAGGCCGCGAGGGCTCGAAACCCCCTCCAGGTAAACCTAAGTTCCGTTGTCTTTTAATAACATGTTCATTTTTCCACTATAATCTACCTTGTCCATAATTACTATCGCATTTGCTTTGACTGTTTCGTAAAGTGAAGTTTTGGATCTTTCCTTAATTCATGGTATAACTTAACAAATTTTTTTGATGACAATTTGTTTTGGGTGTAGCAAATTCACTCATTAAGATCCTGGACTTCCCTTACAGCAAAGCAAATGCGATGGTTTATGGACAGTAGATTATAGGGGAAAAATGAGCATGATTTTAAAAGGGGGAATTTACTCCCTTTAAATTTCATCATTGATATTCTGCCCTAAAATTAAATAACAAAAAGGTACCATCCAACTGGAACAATACAAAAAAAAACCCCTTTAAAAAAACCTTATGACGACGTTTCGGTCCGAGTTTGGTCACTAAAATTGGCCCGAAACTCGTCAAAGATTCTTTTATGTGGGGGGTTGATATAGAATAAGAACATAAAACAAGGGAAACCCTCCCGAAGGCCTAGGCCCATGCGAGGCAGGCCCCAAGCCCCTCTACCGGCTTAACCAATCACCCAACCTAGTCAGGTCAGGTCACTTGACTTAAGGGAGGAACACGGCAACCGACCTGTTAGCAAACATCAGGTCTAACCCACCCCACCCACATCTACTCATGTATTTATCCAACCTATTTTTAAAGCTACACAACGTTCTGGCCTCTATAACGTACTTGGGAGTTTGTTCCACTCATCCACAACTCTATTACCAAACCAGTACTTTCCTATATCCTTCCTGAATCTGAATTTTTCCAACTTAAAACCATTGCTGCGAGTCCTGTCTAGGCTAGATATTTTCAGCACACTATTTACATCCCTTTATTTATTCCTGTCTCACTTATACACCTCAATCATATCCCCCTAATTCTACGTCTTTCTAGAGAGTGCAGTTTCAGGGCCCTTAGTCTATCCTCATAGGGAAGGTTTCTGATACATGGGATCATCTTTGTCATCCTCCTTTGTACATTTTCCAGAGAATTTATATCCATCTGTAATACGGTGACCAAAACTGTGCAGCATAATCTAAATGAGGCCTAACCAAGGATGTAGAGAGTTGAAGAACAACCTGAGGACTCCTATTATTTATGCTTCTTGATATGAAGCCAAGGATTCTATTAGCTTTATTGCGAACACTTTATGCACTGTTGTCTTGGTTTCAGATTACTGCTAACCAGAACTCCTAAATCTTTTTCGCAATCCGTAATATTAGATCTACATTATTTAGTTTATATGTTGCATGGTTATTGTCCTGTCCAACATTTAGAACTTTGCATTTGTCTATATTAAACTGCATCTGCCACTTCTCCGACCACTGCATCAGTCTATTCAAATCTTCCTGGAGTGCTCGAATGTCCTCGTCAGAATGAATTCGACGGCCTATTTTGGTGTCATCGGCAAACTTGCCGATGTCGCTCTTTATGCCCTCATCTATGTCGTTTATGTAGATTGTTAACAGCAGGGGGCCCAACACTGACCCCTGTGGAACACTGCAGAAGGCCTACTGGCGCATGCTAGGCAGGACCAATTGCACTCGTCCAACCTATATTAGAGCTACCTAAAGTTCTTGCCTCAATGACGCTACCTGCGAGGTTGTTCCACTCGTCTACACCTCCATCACTTACACGAGGCTCAGGTAGGTGAAACGCCTATTAAAGGCTTCATTCTGCTGAATACACAAGAGGGAAATAGCATCGTAGCAGGCCTACTGGCCCATACCAGGGAGCTCCAACTCACACCAAACCACACCTAGTTATGCAAGAAAGGTATACAATACCGACAAGATGAAAGTTAAGACATAGTTCTACTGTCTTCTAATTATGTCCTTGAATCTGTATTGATAGCATGCGTCTTAACTTTCATCTTGTCGATATTGTGTATACCTTTCTTGCACAAGTTGTCAGACACTGCAACATCATGGAATCTTGGTTCAGAGGACATCTACAAGACCTTCGCGGCTACAACAACTAACCCATCCCTTTGGGTGTGATCTACTTCCACTGGGGAATCCCGCCTGCTAGTGACTATGCCCTTGTCTGCTACACGTCCCTATCCACTGGCGCCTATATAAACGCCAGTCTTCTTGCCTTTATTTATTTATTTATTTATTTATTTATTATCAATTTGAGCACACATACAGAGGTACAAAAAAATACAGATAAGAGCAGCATGCCAAAGCCACTTATACTATGCATAGCATTACGGGCTGGCTTAAAATTAACTTAAGATTAACTAAGCAATGATGAAATCAGTGATAAAACATTAATGTAAACAGATTACTATAAAGCACAAGTGAGTATTACAAAGACAGGTCATATGGTTGCATTCAGTCATATGAAGGATTCTGTTAGGTAGTGTATTTAAAAAATAATAAAGTTAGATTCGGTTTTCGGTTTAACATTTATGTGATATAATTGTGAGAAACATTTAAGATATACAATTTATAAGGTTCAGTTATTCAGTATTTATTTGGTTTTGGGTGAGTAAGTGATCTTTGAGTAGAGACTTGAATTTATAAACAGGTAGTGTTTCTTTTATATTTACAGGTAATGAATTCCAGATTTTAGGGCCTTTTATGTGCATTGAGTTTTTGCATAGTGTGAGATGGACACGAGGAACATCAAAGAGTGATCTGTGCCTTGTGTTATGGTCATGTGTTCTGTTGAGGTTGGCAAGGAGATGTTTGAGGGGAGGGTTAATATCAGAGTTAAGTGTTCTATGTGTGTAATAGGTGCAGTAATAAGTATGGATGTTTTGTATGGTGAGTAGGTTTAGTGTATTGAATATTGGTGGAGTGTGCTGCCTGTAGTGAGAATTTGTTATCATTCTAACTGCATTCTAACTTTGCTCCAGAATCTCTACCACCACGGTGCTCTCAACACTAACTCCAAGGCTGAGGGACTGATTACCTCATCTTTTGTATATAGTTCTACTGTCTTCTAATTATGTCCTAGAATCTGTGTTGATAAAGCCACTGGATAGCGAAACGTCTACAATAAAGATAACCAGATGTTGCACATGTCTTAACTGTTATCAAACCATACCTACTTAAGTACATCTTTTAAACCACTTCAAGCACACAATCCTTTCCACTTAAAGAGGTACGATAAAGCCCTTGTAATAGGAAGTATGTGGACCTAGTTGTGTAAGAATGGTATGTAATACCGACAAAATGAAATTAAGACACATGTGCAACATCTGGGTATCTTTATTGTAGACGTTTCGCCATCCAGTGGCTTTATCAATACAAATTCTAGGACATAACTTGAAGACATGTACATAACCTTCACGACTACGACAACTACTACTACAACTAACCCATCTCTTTGGGAAGGACCTACTTCCACTGGGGAATCCCGCCTACCAGTGACTATGCCCTCGTCTGCTACACCTGACGTTACTATATAAGCGCCAGGCTCCTTTCTTCTGGTTCAGAATCTCCACGACTATGGTGCTCTTCGCATCTACTCCTACGTTGAGGGACTGATTACCTCATCTTCTGTACATAGTTCTACTGTCTTCAAGTTATGTCCTAGAATTTGTATTGATAAAGCCACTGGGTGGCGAAACGTCTACAATAAAGATACCCAGATGTTGCACATGTGTCTTAATTTCATGTGGACCTAATAACGAACAGAGCAGAGTGGTACCTGGAGCTACGACTAGACCCCTGCAACCATAAATAGGCGAGTACTTGTGTCCGGTAAACATGTACATGGACCATCCCTTGGATATGACCTAGTTCCACTGGGGAATCCCGCCTATAAATAACAATGCCTTCGTCTGCTGTACGTTCCTCATCTAACGCCAGTATATAAAGGCCAAGCTTCATGTCTGTGCTTCAGATTCTTCAAGACTACGGTGCTCTTCAACTACAAGGCTGAGGGACTGATTAAGATAAGGTTATGCTCGGATTTTTAGCCCCGGAGGGTTAGCCATCCAGGATAACCCAAGAAAAGCAGTGCGTCATCGAGGACTGTCTTATTTACACTGGGGTCCTCAATCTAGTCTCTCAGGATGCAACCCACACCAGTCGACTAACACCCAGGTACCTACTTGCTTGCTAGGTGAACGGGACAATAGGTTTAAGGAAACACGCCCAATGTTTCTGCTCTTGAAGGAGATCGAACCACGGACACTAAGCATGTGAAGCGAGAGCGTTGCCTACTAGGCCACGGTATATAATTCTACATTCTTCACATTATCTTCTTGTATTGATGAAGCCACTGGTTGGCGAAACGTCTACAAATAAAATATATGCAAATATTGCACATCATTTTTCAGCCATGCCATGGAGAAAGTGTAGATAGATACCTTGCGTGTCATGAGGCGGTGAGGGACGAGGGTGCCAGTGAGGTTGAGACAGTCTTGGTGGTAGTGTTGAGGAGCCAACATGTGCACCAGCCACACCCAGTGCACATCCACGGGAGGAGCCGCACCAGTGCACTCCCCACCTCCCACCAGTGGCAGCCAACACTCCTCATACCTGATCACACACCAAAAATCAACATTATTAAGAGTACATTTACAAGGTGTACTAATCTCATCCCATACTAAGAACAAAAAGGCACAATACCGTAACTGGAACAATACACAAATAACCCGCACATAGGAGAGAAGGAAGCTTATGACGACGTTTCGGTCCGACTTGTAAATGGTCCAAGTCGGACCATTTATGTGCGGGTTGTATATAATCCCACACTACATGTGGTTTTTACACCACATGTGTAAGATTATACAAGATTGTAAACAAACCACGGAACGGGCAAGGACTGAACCCATGGCAAGTCTGAGTCGTAAAACTCCAGGTCAGTGCGCAGCCAGCTGGCCGAGAATTAAATCCTGCCCGTTCCGTGTTTCTTCTTTCTCTGAAGAAAATTCTTTGTAACTTTTTTTTTTTTTTACTCGTGGTATTAAACGTGAAATTTTATTGCTATTACATTAAACGAGGGAAGCGCTAATCCTGTAGGGGTTATAGTCCCTGGGGAATGGGAGGTAATTCGGCAGAATCCAAGGAAACGAAGGCTAGCTCCATTTCTTTGGATCAAGATCATTCCACCAGCACCAAGGCACCCCTTCTACCTTGACTGAAGTCTCATATATTAAGCATTTTTTCCTAAATTTGCTTCTAAAAGACAAGTGAACTATAGATATATTATTATTATAATCAAGGGGGAAGCGCTAAACCCGGAGGATTATACAGCGCCTGGGGGGGGATGTGGAAGGCATTCAGGCTTTTAATTCGGGGAACTGGAGCACAGATCCAATTCCCTAAATCAAGAGCCCCTCACCAACATCAAGGAACCTTCCTTGAGGGGAACTATAGATAAAAATCCAGATGTACTCCTGTTAACCCTTCTGGGGCCTAGTTCCTAGGCCTCTTGTGTATCCATATGCTCTTGCGCTACCATCTATAGGATGAATATGGCTTGCACAAACTAGCCACTATCATCCACAGGATATGGGGTGCACAATAAACTAGCCACTTCGGCGGCAAAATCTAAATCTAATCTGAAGTCTCTCAGCCCAAGCTGACAGATGTCAACACTAAGTTATATCTCGTGTGATGAAGATGACAGGGCAAAATGTAACTATGGTATAAACCTTGGTAAATGATACCTACAAATTGGTCTAGAAAAAACAGGTAAGCAAACACTAGGTCATATTTATTAGAAAACGTTTCGGTCCTGAGACCTTGATCACTTTAACACGCAGATTAAAATGACAGTATATATAGGTTATTTATACAGGCCATATATTTATATATAATCCCATTCATAGACCATATATATACTGCCATTTAATCTATGTTAGACGTAATCAAGGTTCCAGGACCGAAATGTTTTCTAGTATGTCCAAGTGTTTGATCACGAGTCTTTTTAAACCAAAACCTAACTACCTTTTGTCCCCACTATTTAATTACCATGTATCTAATGTTGCTAGAGTCAAGTTTAGAGTAGCTCACCTGCGGAGTGCCTGTGTGACGAGGGGACCACGGTAGAGTCCTGGTTGGGAGTCCACACCTGCCAGGAACGACAACAATCTCCTGGCGGCACGCACCAGATTCACACCCACACGCACCTCCCGCACCTTCGGGTGGATAGCAGGCACACTTCTAGTCGGCGTCTGGCTTGCAAAGTTCGTGTTTGACCTTTGACCTGGACGGTCAAATTTCTCAGAATACGGGGGCAGATCAGGGGCGCTGGGCCCGTAGGTGAAGGCAGGGCTGTCAGTGTCGTCTGCTGGAGGCACTGACGGCGCCAACAGGGATTCAAGACCACAGGCATGAAACCCAGGCAAGTTTGAAGGGTCATGGTGGCCGGCAGTGTTCATGGGGGACCTTAGAGATGCGGGTGTTGAGCCACCCACGTCCTCTTCCTCAGCAAGAGGGGCGCTGGGGGTAGGTGGGGACGTCACCGGCTGCAAGAATGAAACCCCGTGACCGGGGGAACTGTTGGTTTCAGCACTGTGTGATATAAGTGCCACCGCCGGGCCATTACTACTAGAATCTACGGGCTCGGAATCATTGAGGTCGCTGGCGCCATCGGACATTTCAGTGGCTAACGCCGAGGTGACGGAAGTAGGTGGTGCAGTGGCAGTGTTGCGAGGTGGGGGAAGGCCCTCGGTGGAGGCATTGGAGGGGGTGCTGAGCCCACAACAAATGGGGTGCAGGGGACGCATCAGTGAGGCTCTTGAAGAGGCATCAGTAGAGGTGGTCAGTGAGGTTGTGGGCAAGTGGCCACAATAAGGTACACACAATGGCAAAGATCAGGTGTAAACACTAATGAGACTAATATCAGAAGAGCAGGGAGGGAGGCGACATCAGTGCTGGGAACAAGGCAGCAGTGCCATCGTAGTGCCACAGTGGAAGAAACTCTTGATGCCGCATATAGTGTGTAGCAAGGATCTTCCGCAGACAGGAATAGAGGCCACGGAAGACTGCAGCCATTGACCAAGCAGCCTGACTGGCCAGACCGGACGGAGGATCGAGCCTCCTCCACTCCTGGCGCGGAGTGATCCACACGGCTGAAGCAGCAGCGGTATATTCAAAGAATGCAACAATTGCAGAGGCCAAAGCAGAGTATGTAATGAGCTTTCAGGGTACGTAGGGAAGATTCATTTAGAATCGGTGAAGCGTCACTTGACTGCTTGAAAGTTTGTAGACCATGCGAAGTGGTGGAGATCATCACAATGCAGGTTATGATAACCAAGGCAGTGTGTGTGTGTGAGGACGACAGTGCACTGTGGTGGGACGTGAGGTAATGTTGCTACATTACTACCAGGCTTGATGAGCAGTGATGAGGAACACTTGCGTCTTGCTGACACGACCAATGATAATAAACTAGAGTGGACGGAGCCTGCAAGAACAAAGAAACGTGTGTGTGTTAATTTCAAGTCTATAATCACGCTGAAGTGCTAAAATCATAAGGATACCTGGAGTATACCTGGGTGTTTCAGGGGTCAATGCCCCCGTGGTCAGGTCCATGACCAGGCCTCGTGGTGCATCAGGGCCTGATTAACCAGACTTACAGTTGGCCGCATGCAAACCGACGTACGAACCACAGCCTGGCTGGTCAGGTACTTATTTTAGGTGCCTGTTCAACTCCGTCTTGAAGACAGCCAGGGGTCTATTGGTAATCCCACTTAAGTATGCTGGGAGGCATCAATATTCACCCCTTCAAGAGCAGCAGCAGCAGATAAAGATGACACCACAAAGTTACTTCACCGGGTTGTGGTCCGTACGTCAGCTTGCGTGCGGCCAGCAGTAACAACCTGGTTGATCCGACCCTGATCCACCATGAGGCCTGGTCTCAGACCGGGCCGCGGGGGCGTTGACCCCCGAAACCCTCTCCAGGTAAACTTCAGGAAAGACTGCCTTTGAATAACATAAGCTGCATGAAATACTGACTAGCAGCCCAGCCTCAATGATACAAGCTGAATAGGAGATAATTATATCTAAAATGCAAATTCCCTTAATATATCATGCGATAAATTTCTACCCTGGCTTCCCTTACTCTCTTTAATCTACTTAAGAAGGCCTCAATAAGTGGCCCAAATATAGAGCATCAATGGCCACTCATGTTACCCTACCTCGATATTAATCTATCACTGTGGTATAATCATTTGATTATTTGCGTACAGATTTATTGTACTTGTACAGAACAAAGTCGAGATAGACTACATACCAACAGGAGGTAGAATTGAGAATCTACTCGTATTATTACAATCAGAACTAAGAGCTAAATCCATAAGGATCATACAGTACTGCAGGGTAGGTTGCGCTAAAGATGTAATTTGCCAGATCAGAGACCAGGGAGGATGAAGAATATGCCAGGCAGAGTGAGTAAGGGACGTGAGGAGTGATAAAGGAAAAGTAAAATCAAAGTCGGTGTAATAATGCTGTCGCTGACAGTAAGTCAATGAGGGAGTCTGCGTCAAAGGCGGGGGCTGTCAGCGAGGTCGTCAGATAAAGTAAAGGTGTTAGTGGTGACGACGCCGGAGGTAAATCCTCCGTGCTCGCTGGTAGACGAAAACAGTATCAGCATATGGCAAACTGAAAATGGAACTTGACAATTCTAGAGTGGCGCTGGTGATTCAGTAGGACCTCCATTACCTTCAAATTTAGGTTACATAAATACATGAGTGGGAGCAAGGGGCTAGTAACCCCTTCCCGTATAAATTACTGAAGAAGAAAAACTTCAGTTTTTCTCTTTAGGTCACTCTGCCTCGGTGAGATAAGGCCGGTTCGTTGAAAAAAAAAAAATACACGAGTGAGATGGGTTGGATCTGAGTGGGACTTGCACACAAGTTAATAGGGTTATCAAAGCTTATTCCTTGGGTAGCAATGAAAATGGGTTAGGCAAATATTTTTGTTAAGTGGGTTTGGGTTTAAGAACCTGCCTAGTATGGGCCAATCAGCCTGCTGCAGTATTCCTCCATTCTTATGTACTTATACCCATGAGTGAGACGTGCGTGTCCGATACGAAGACTGAAGAGAGTAGCCGCCCAAACACAACAACGTTGATAAGGCAACCAGAAACCTAAACAAAGTTTGATAGAATATAATTTATAATGTATCAACTCAGACCATCATTGTTGTCAGCGGCTGCGAAGTGGCTTAGAGATTACTGCAATATAGTCTGAGGATGGAATATCAATATGTAAAATGCGGTCATGAATAGCTGACAGAGCAGCAGTCTTCCTTACAATAATACTTAGGCGAGTACACAGGTAAAAAAAAGGCGAAGGCAGGAGCAGCGTCTTGACCCTGCAACCATATACAGACTTGTACACAGTTTTATAAGCTAGAGATAACAGTGACATCTTAATGTCCTAGCCAAAGTTTAATTGTACATCTTTACCCACGTGACTGACACATCACAATCACTAGTATTGGCAGGAAAATATAAGGATAATGAGATGCTGGTGACGTGGATGACATGCAGGCGACGTGGATGACATGCTGGCGACGTGGATGACATGCAGGCGACGTGGATGACCTGCAGGCGACGTGGATGACCTGCAGGCGACGTGGATGACATGCAGGCGACGTGGATGACATGCAGGCGACGTGGATGACATGCAGGCGACGTGGATGACATGCAGGCGACGTGGATGACATGCAGGCGACGTGGATGAGAATAACCAGACTTTCTCCAGTAAAGAGACACCTACCTTCTACTGTTCAGATAACCTGTTCTACGAGAAAATTTAGATAAACAGTATAGAAAAATCATCGAGACACTACTATATCTTAACACTAAAGAAAGTAACGCTGATGACGTATATCAAGAACTGTGCGAGAGGTGCTCAACACCTGAAACATCTGGCCAGAAATATACAAATAACCCGTACAGTGGAGAAACTTATGACGACGTTTCTCCCATGTGTAGGTTATCTGTGCATTGTAATAACGTTGGTAGAATTACCGACAATATAGTAGGCAACTGGACACATGTGCAACTAAAGTGGCATTTTATTGTGGCAACGTTTCGCTCTCCATTTTTTGCCAAGCCGTTACGGCTTGACGAAGAGCTGAAACGTTGTCACAAAGCCAAAGAGCGAAACGCGAACATTAAAATGGTATACAACAGCGATAAGCTGGTAAGGCACGCGTGTCTTACTTACCAAAGAGCGAAACGTTACCACAATAAAATGCCACATTAGATGCACTTGTGTCCATTTACCTAACATATATGTGTATTGTTCCAGTCACGGTATTGTGCCTTATTTTTCAGAAATAGTGGGTGGGTGTGTGGGCGGGGGAATGGGAGTGGAATCCTGTCCCTGCAGATTATTAGAACCTTGGGGAACGCTAAACCTGTAGGGGTCGTGCATCCTGCACAAGTATAATACACGAATTTAAAAAAAAAAAAAAAAAAAAAAAAAGGAAAAGGCTGGGGGCTATGAAAAAATTTGTTTGGACTAGTGAATAGAGAATACAGCCTCAAAAAAATAATAAATAAATAAATAAATAAATAAATAAATAAATATAAATATATATATATATATATTATTATATAGGGAATGTGTGACAGTATAGTGGTACCAACACTCTTATATGGGTGTGAAGTTTGGGTTGTAAATGTTGCAGCGAGGAGGCGGTTGGAGGCAGTGGAGATGTCCTGTCTAAGAGCAATGTGTGGTGTAAATATTATGCAGAAAATTCGGAGTGTGGAAATTAGGAGAAAGTGTGGAGTTAATGAAAGTGAGTCAGGGGGCTGAAGAGGGGCTGTTGAGGTGGTTTGATAATTTAGAGAGAATGGATCAAAGTAGAATGACATGGTGAGCGTATAAATCTGTAGGGGAAGGGGTCGTCCTCGAAAAGGTTGGAGGGAGGGGATAGAGGAGGTTTTGTGGGCGAGGGGCTTGGACTTCCAGCAAGCATGCGTGAGCGTATTAGATACGAGTGAATGGAGACGAATGGTATTTGGGACCTGACGAGCTGTTGGAGTGTGAGCAGGGTAATATTTAGTGAAGGGATTCAGGAAAATCGGTTATTTTATATAACCGGACTCGAGTCCTGGAAATGGGAAGTACAATGCCTGAGCTTTAAAGGAGGGGTTTGGGATATTAGCAGTTTGGAGGGATATGTTGTGTATCTTGATACGTAAATGCTTCTAAACTGTTGTGTTCTGGGCACCTCTGCAAAACAGTGATTATGAATGAGCGAGATGAAAGTGTTGAATGATGAGAGTATTTTCTTTTTGGGTCACCCTGCTTCGGTGGGAGACGGCCAACTTGTTATATATATATATATATATAGAGGAGGTGAATGTATTCAGATATTTAGGAGTGGACGTGTCAGCTGATGGGTCTATGAAAGATGAGGTGAATCATAGAATTGATGAGGGGAAAAGAGTGAGTGGTGCACTTAGGAGTCTGTGGAGACAAAGGACTTTGTCCTTGGAGGCAAAGAGGGGAATGTATGAGAGTATAGTTTTACCAACGCTCTTATATGGGTGTGAAGCATGGGTGATGAATGTTGCAGCGAGGAGAAGGCTGGAGGCAGTGGAGATGTCATGTCTGAGGGCAATGTATGGTGTGAATATAATGCAGAGAATTAGTAGTTTGGAAGTTAGGAGGAGGTGCAGGATTACCAAAACTGTTGTCCAGAGGGCTGAGGAAGGGTTGTTGAGGTGGTTCGGACATGTAGAGAGAATGGAGCGAAACAGTGACTTCAAGAGTGTATCAGTCTGTAGTGGAAGGAAGGCTGGGTAGGGGTCGGCCTAGGAAAGGTTGGAGGGAGAGGGTAAAGGAGGTTTTGTGTGCGAGGGGCTGGGACTTCCAGCAGGCATGCGTGAGCGTGTTTGATAGGAGTGAATGGAGACAAATGGTTTTTAATACTTGACGTGCTGTTGGAGTGCGAGCAAAGTAACATTTATGAAGGGGTTCAGGGAAACCGGCAGGCCGGACTTGAGTCCTGGAGATGGGAAGTAGTGCCTGCACTCTGAAGGAGGGGTGTTAATGTTGCAGTTTAAAAACTGTAGTGTAAAGCACCCTTCTGGCAAGACAGTGATGAAGTGAATGATGGTGAAAGTTTTTCTTTTTGGGCCACCCTGCCTTGGTGGGAATCGGCCAGTGTGATATATTTTATAATATTATATATATATATATATATATATATATATATATATATATATATATATAACACCCCCGCGACCCGGTTCACAGCAGGATTCGAACCTACACATAGCATTAAAATACGTAGTACGCTGACGCATTACGTAGTACTTTGATGCAGTGTAGGTTCGAATCCTGTTGTTGAGAGGGATAATATTTGTAAATAATTTCACCCGTTTGCGAATTGAGAAAGTGAGTGTGAAAGTGAGAGAGAGAGAGAGAGAGAGGAGAGAGA